CCTAGTGGACTCAGAGCTTACCCTACCTACCACATCATTCTCTTTGTGGGTAACTTTCTGAATAACTGCATGGCCTAACTTCCTGTGACTGCATAGCACAGGATCAGAGGCCTGTAAGGATGTGTTTTTTCTTTGTGTTACTCATCAAAACATCAACAAATCTCACAATCATGTTCAGTCCATCACACGGTCTGAAGTTCTGTTTCTGGGTAAGCTTAAAGGATCATCCGCCCAGCAAAGCAGCATTCTGAGGGTTTCTGAAGACCTACACCCTGATATGATGGAATTGCTTTTACATTCTCTGGGTGCTGTCCTTTCTGTGACATTCACATATTGGTAGTGTAGTTGGTTTTCTGACCGCTGCTTTCAGTATGGTTGTCCATTTAAAATAAACAACTGAAATAACCTACTGAAAGCAGTGTGAAATATAGGGAGAGAGAAAAGAAATAACAGCAACAAAAAGTTGTCCTTGCGGTGAACATGGTTTTATTAGCTAATTTTGCCGTGGACTTATATGACTGTAAAACTCTTTTGTGCAGACTTCTGTAAAGCTGTTGTATTTGTGAAGAGCCGAACATTTTCAAACTACATTATTTCAAGATTTGTACTAATAGTTGCTAAGGTATATGGCTGCTATTGTAAAAATGGACTAGTGTTAATTTCTGCATGGATGATAACAAGTATTTAGTTTCCTGAGCTTCAGATATTATACCGTGAAATGAGACTCCGTGTCACATGGTGGCTAATCCAGTCATAATAGCTGGCAACTTGTGTATAGACGCCAGGGTGACCGGCCTCCCCACAGTTTTCACCCCAACTCACAACACCCCAGACATACGCCACGTTTTCTGCATCAAAGCAGACCAGGGGACCTCCTGAATCACCTTTGCAACTGTCAATGGATCCATCATAAGTACCTGCAGCAAGAGAGGGGAAACAACAACAACTCAGAAGTAAGTTTATATGCAAACTAGCACACAAAGTAGAGCTCAGGTGGCATTTTAGATCCATGTCACTTCCAGGCAGGTGCCTGCCTAACAGTCACTAGTACTTGAAGTTCCCAACCTCTTTGATCTACTACTTCCTAATTATTTTGAAGTGCAGGCCTCTTTATAATTTTGGCTGGGCCAAAAGCTCATTTGCTTTCGTGTCAGGAATGTGATTCTTGTTGTATATTGTGTAACAGAGAAGAATTCAGATGTATCATATATTATATCATTAGAAGTAGCTTATAAAAAGGGGACAGAAAGTAGAATAAAAAGGTAAGATTATTAGACTGATCCCTCTGGAAATTAAGCTATAATATGCATGTTCCTCTACATCTGCTATTGATGTCCTTTCTACCCAGTAATACGTTGGCCAATTTCCTCTGAGCTATGCAGAAGCAGAAACCTCAAAATTTATTTCTCTACAAGCTTTATGGCAAAAGGTGGGCAGGTCCACGGATAGTACATGAATGATGAGATACAGGAGTGTGCAGCTGTGTTTAACTGGAGCCCTTGATAGGGCACTTGAAGTGCAGACCATCTGGAGCACCAGGTGACAGCTCTGAGACACAGCATATGGGCTATGGTGCTGTCTTCAAGTTTCTGGGATTTTGAAACTACTTGTTTCCAATTTAGCAAATGTAGTGGTTGTAAAAATAATAATAATAATTTAAAAATAAAAGAGGAAAGAATATCATATTGGCAGAAATTTTATAGAGTTGGAATACAATTTATGCTTTGTCCCATAGACTCAGTGGAAGTGTGTAAAGTTGTCTTTCACTCCTTTCTACTTGGTTGATAGACCTAGTATGAAGGAACCCATACTGAGCAAGATTCCCCATGTTTTTAAATATGTAACCTCTTTCTTGAGTCTCTGCATTACTGAGAAAGAGTTTTGTGAGTATTTCAGGATTGGAAAGACTAATAACAACAAAACTAGATTTTGTTGCCCTTACTCAGTTGCACTAACGTTACCTTGTTTCAGTAACTTCAGCAGCTACCAGTCCTTAATTCCAAAATTTATATCTGCATTCACATTGTATTGAATTTATTCACAAATGGTTAAGCTCTTATATACAGTTTTGATTTGTCTTGTTATGGAGTTTGTTTAAATCCTGCCTTTACTTCAGAGTTAAAGAACGGTTGAAACTATCTGTCCTGTGAGTTGAAAACTCATTGCTCTTTAAGACATGTGTTTGGCAATACCTTTTGTTACTTGAAAAGCAAAAATGTGTACTCAAAATGCTTATTTTAGCATTAGGAATGACAACCAGCTTCCTGGCCAGACTAATCTTTGTTTGAAAAGTTTATAGTATTTTTCCTGGGGTGTGATTTAGTGGTAGAAAACATCTCAACAGATGAGTAGTCACATGCTAGTCTGCAGGATTGTGAATGTGCTCCAAAAAAGGCATTTGCTTTATTATGTTCCTGAACCAGAATAAAGTAGAGGTAGGAGTAAGTTCAGTGGGCTGTAAAGTGCTTGTGTGTTTAGAAAACGTGACTCCAACTGTGTGCTGAAATTTGCGTACAATCGCTGAAACTTGGCATACTGTCACAATAACTGTTTATAATTAGATAGTTAACAGCAGATGACTGTAGGCTCCAGTGGCTAGTGCTTTGCTAATGACAACGTTGTTGCATTTGATTTATTGCATTTTTCAAGTCTAAAAGATTTCCCAGTCAGACCTTAAAAACTGTGGGCATGATGGTAAGGAAATTATAGTAAGAAAATTCATACTTGCCTGCACATGCCATTTTTTGTAAAAATCGGCCTGGATACATTTCAGAACAATTCTGAAATAAATTAACATTTCCCCATTTGAGCACGTATTGTTTGGTATATCCTAGAAAAGAAAACAGTAAACTTTTTCTAAATTTAAACTGATAAATGTGTATGAAACACTTTCAATATCATAAGTTGAATGGTATAGATTTGCTTATTTATTGAATGTAATCTTAAATATTATAAACCAGGTACCTTAATCTGCTGCTAACACTCGCCCCACATCCATTGCCCATATGTTTAAAAATAAAAGCAGAGTGGTTAAATTGTAGTATTAAATGCAGTAGTTTCATTTTTTGTGATTTTTACTCCTTTCCTTTGTTATTTTCTTCATATTTTTTTTTCCCCATGTTTTCCATACCAGGGTTTCCAGATGCTATACTACTGGGAGACCAGTATATTGTTTTCTTTTAAATGGAGAAATGACTCTGATCATCTTTGTTACCTCTCTTTCTCAGAAAGATGAGAGGACTGGAACTTGCAGATACAAGTGAGCTATGTAGTACAAGGTTAAGAAGAGGCCCTGTTTTGGTCTATGTTTGGTGGTAATTCTCAACTTTGTATTTTGTTTATGAACTGCTAGTGCTCTTATGCCTGGCTGCAGTCATTCTGTGATAAAAACCAACTGCTTCCAAAGGCTTTGAAAGCGTGACTGTGTTGGACCTAACCTTCATTGGTTGAACCTATGCATGGTTGAGATGAGATGTGCAGAGCTTCATAACTGCTGATTGCATCTCAGATCCGTTTGGGCAGGGCACAGAGGTCTGGCTGTGACCATGGGCTGTTTGTTAAATACTGTTACCAGGTTTGCATAGATAAACCTAAGATAAATATGAGACTGGTAATTACAGTGGCTTCTTCTGGATGCCTCAGAGGTACTAAACAGCTCTTGTCTTCTTTGAGAAGCATGTATAGGTGCAGCACAACAAATAAGTTTTTTGCTTATGCATATGTTGTCTGAATGCTGCCATCTCACTCCTGCTGTCTCATTCCTGCTCTCTCGCTGCACTGTGCTGACACAAATGTGCTGCTGTGGAGTCAGGCTGCAGATAAAACTGTAAACCAAACATTGCCTTTTATCAGGCTAGTTCTCAAAAAGGTGTCCTCCAAACCAATTTACTGGGACATTACAAAAAAGAGAACTGACAGCCAAATGCCAACAGCATGTGTTTGCTGTGCTCAGCCTCTTGCAAGTGCTGTGTGTGCACCACTCTTTAGCCTTCTCAGTATGAGAGCTGACCACTGTTTGAAAAACATAGCTAAAAATAATACATTCTGGTAGTAAGCACTGAATCAAATACCTTTCTCTAGTCCCCATCCAGAAACCTTGCATTTATCACCAGCCTTGAACATATGCTCTGACCAGGGGATGCAGGCAGGTGTGCTGTATTTCAGGGAGCACTCTCCTTTTCCGTGACCTTTCAGCTCCAGCAGAGCAATGTCATTTTCATATGTTGCAGCATTATAGTTCTCATGGATTATCAGTTGCTTTAGTCTGTAAGTGTCTGTCTCCCTGTCATACTGTATTGTATCCAGCAGCCCAATCCAGACACGGTATAGATGAACTCGAGTTGCTCTGGAAAAAAAGCCAATGAAGTAAAAAATATGTTTTGGTACATTACACAAGCACTGTATGTTTCAATTAGTCATAAATTTTTGCATTTTACAAAGTTTTCATAGAATAAAAAATCATATTATACACTATACATATTATATATATAGTTTCTTTCTGGACTTGCATGTCCAGATTGTTCTGAAGCAAGGCTGGTGACGCTTACTGCTGAGCTGAAGTTCCTGAAAATCCTGCAGGTAAGACAGAAAGACTGTATTAAAGGCCAGTGTGTTAAGTGCCTCCACAAAGGGAAAGCAAGGCTTATGCCTCTGATAGCAGATGAAGGAAGAATGAGCAAATACACCTGGAACACTGGGCTAGGTTAGGCAGGTCTTTCCTGCCCACTCCTGCTGGCACTGGGGAATGTGTGGCACCAGGGACGTTCCTGGAGGACAGGTGCTAGACCTTCCCAGTGCTGAGAGGAGGTAACTCATAATTATGTTTTTGCTCAGTGACAAAATACTTTGCCTTTGAATCCCTCCCATTGTTAATGTGAGCAAGTCAGTGATTTTAGTTGATTTGTTAAATGGGCAAGTAAGAATTAACAACCTAGTAGCTGAGAAGAGCAATAATGCACAGATTCATCTTTTCTACTTTGCAAAGAAGTAATTTCTCAGGTTGTTGCTTTTACCTGACACAGTGTGCAGCAGTCAGAACCCAACAGCCACCAATATAAACCCCTCCACAGTACACTGTTGCACCTTCAGTGCCAGTGTCTTTAATTGCCACTTGCCAAGGGAATTCACCCTATTAAAATGACAGAAACCCAAATAATAAGAAATTATCATTGTGCTATTTTTTGTGCATAAAGGGAAACACCATATCACTTCATCTCCGTGACAAAATCTATTAAGAAATTATCTGTAATTTGGGCTCTGATACAAAGGCTCTGTATTCTAAACTACGGTAACTTTTTTGTTTTCTGACATTATGCAGTGTCTCCCTTCCTCCAGCTTTCTGTCAAGAAAATCCTGAAAAAAAATAGATGGAAGATCTGATCTGGTATGATCAAACATTACATTTATGACTATAATTATCATACATAGTATAGTGTTAAGTATTTTGCTGGATCGTTTTCAATGCATACTTGCACTGTAATGCTGGATTTTGTAGCTTGGTGTTTTACCTTATTAACTGTGCTTCTATTTATATTCATTCAGTGCAATGTAAAATATGAAATTAATGTTGTAACTGACTTTGTTATTTCTGTACGTTTTAACAGAAGGACAGTAATGAAATTTAAACTGTTACTGAATGAACACATGAGCCTATATTTGTAAGGTTTGTGTGTGGAAGGGAGGGAGGAGGAAGATGGAGGGATATTATTATTTTTTACCTTCCTTGCAATTTGTCCACCTATGATTCTTTTCCGTCGAGTTAATGTGAGATTTACAACACCACAGTTTATTTGGGGAAGGAACGTCTTTGCCAGTTTTCTTTCTTTAACAAAAAGGAAAAATGTGTCTCAGAATTCAAGCATTCATTTTCTCTATTTGGAGACAGACTTATCTTTACACTGAAATCATGAGTGCTGTGAGTATGCAAGTAGCTAGGAAAGCATCTGTTTTTCTTTGAAAATTACTTCTGTCTTAGCATCACATTATTTCTCTTTATTTTCCATTGCTGACAACATTCAGGTAAATAATTTCAAAGCAGTGGCCATAGACTTGCTTAGAGTTTACCTCTTTCCGTTGCTAATGCACAGATGTGGATCCTGAGGCAGGATGAATTATTATTATTGTTATTGAGATTAGTGGAAATAGTTAAATCCCAGAGCGTGTACTACTAAACCACAAAGTCCATGTATGAGTGTTGCAGGTCTGGCTAACTGGCTGGTAGCTAGAAAGCCACTAAAAAGAGGGTATGCAGGGTTTGTGGGGGGTTACTTACCTGCATCCATACTGTGATTTTCGTCATGTTTTGGCTTGCCTGTAGTGGAATAATAGAATACTAAGAATATTGACAAATATTTACAGCGTTCTATTACTTAAATGTTTAGTGGTGTACCAAAATCATGGTACATTTTTAACTGGATAAGGTGCATACCATTTCACACAGACAGCAATACTCTATAAGCGTGGTGCCTGCTGTTTCCTTTCTTCCTAGGCACTCTGCTGCCACAGCTTACAAATGATCTGCATCCAGCAGATACTCATTTATAACCACATGATACCTACTCTTCCTTCTTCTTGTCCAGAGGACCTTTCTGCAAAGAAACCCTGCGAAATGGCCTCCTTTGGTTTTTTTTGTTTGTTTGTTTTTAATCTCTAAAGCAATAGACCGCTCTCCTCTACCAGGAAACACCAGAATTTCTTCCTCCTGCCCCATCAATCCTTTGGAGCTTTCTAAAGCCCAAAGGAGCATTAGGCAAAAAGGTAAAAGGATACATATTTTTTTCTTTCCAATTTAGATGCTGCTGCTCTGTACTCCGTGCCTCCTTTAACACTTACTCCTTTTAAGGGTAAGGGAGGGTATTCAACACAAGAGGTAAACTAAACGCTTCCTGAATCTGGTTTGTCAGCTTTTATTCAAACAAAATACCCATTGAATTCACTTCCTAAATGGAGGCTGAGGATTGGCTCTGTTCTCATGTTACTGACAGTAATGTTTACTTCTAGGGTTCAGTTTACCTTTACCAATTACCATGTACCAAAAATGTTTACTTTTTGGCTTTACACTTTGTCTCTTATCTAAAATATTCTAAGTTCAAAACAAAACAAGGTATTTTCAATGGTAAGGAGAACAGTACAGATGAACTATTATATTAACAAACTAGTTAAATTAATTCCTTATACACAAGGAGGTTCCTGCATGCTCCATCTACATTTTCTTCCCTAAAACAGGATACCAATTTGATAGATGTTCATGCATGCAAAAGTCGTAATCTGCTTTAAGCCTCCTAAAACATCATCTGTTTCTTCTGTCCTTTAGTTTTCTTGCCATTTATTTCTGGTAGGAAGGGAAGGAAGAGTATGTAACCTTTTGTTAGTCTCCTAGTAAATGTAACATAACATCAGGAAGACTAATTCTTGCATGCATTTTGGTTTTGTTAATCTGACAAATGACTTAAGAACGTGCATTGTGTAGTCTGTAGGTTTAATTTAGCATAACAAAAGTAAAAGAAAGAAAAACACATCTTAAAAGGAAACCTGAACAGAGAGCTTGAGCTTCATCCTCTCCTGTTAGGCAGTCAATTTCTTTGTTACACACATTCTTTTTTGGAATACAGATATTTGATCGACAGTGGAAACTGTTGTTTCTGCATTCTGTAATATAACAGAAGTAAAATGGTAAAGCACGGGACTATATGATTCAGTGGCCTCATGTAACTAGAGAGCTTCTTAAAAAATAAACCCGATAAAATATCCATGTTATGGGGGACTTTGCTATTTATAAATAGATCCTGAAAGTGGGGTCTGTAAGTGTAAAATGATGTGAATACTTGACTCTGCTCATTTTACTGTCTTGGTGTTTTAAAATTTATGCTATTAAGAAGGATCTCATTTTAGTTTAAGATAGTTCACTGAAAAAAACCAACATGGTTTTGTTTGATTACTGTCAGTTTTGCCCTATTTGAAAATACATTTAATTCTGTGTAATACAGTTGGGTTTTTTTTCTTTGTTTTTGTTTGTATCAACAGCCTCCTAAATCTCATTATTTTTTTATTATTGGAAGAAATCCAGATCCTCAGAGATCAGTTGCTTGCTTTGGAAAATTGCAATATTTATATTAGTATAATTATCTAACTATAGAATCATAAAACTTTTTTGTACTTTCCTATACAGAAACTATAGTTTTTTTGTTTGTTTGGTTGTTTTTTTTGCTTTTTTTCACAATAGAGACTTTATTATTACATCACTGTAAGAATTAATTTTTTGTGGATATATTTTTGCTGAAATGTTCTTTAAACAGCTGAGAAAATAAATTATTACCTTTACAGCACAGTTCATCACTTAGGTCTCCACAATCATTTATACCATCACAGGTTTTAGTCACAGAAATGCACTTGTCATTTGCACAATGGAACTCATGAGCTGAACATTCTGTGCAGTGAGATGAAAATGAAGTTAGTATAGAAATGACTGTAGGTTCACAACTGCCCAAGGAAACACTCAGCATACACCTTTTATTCACTCAGTTTGACCTGTCAATAGTAGGCAACTTAAGGCCTAGTTGAGTAAATAGGAATCTTTTTTTTTTTTTTTTTACTGTTTTCATTGCCTCCTCTTCAGACTTTCAATGTGACTATGTATTTTCTCCCTCCAACTTTGAGTGACCTGGCAAAAGAGAATTTTGTTTCTTCCAAACATGGATGAAAGCAGAAATGTTAGCGTGAGTTGATCTCCCAAAAGCAAGAACAAAGGAAGAAGTAGGAGGTTGTCATCTGTCTCCTCATCAGTTAACCTAGGAGAAACAAAAGTCGTGGGATGTAATATGCCTTGGAAGGGAAGGGGGAGCAGCCAGAACCATGGGTGAAATTTGTCCACTTTTGGGTAGTATCTGTCAAGATATTCTAGGAGCAACAGTGCATTATTTTCCAAAGTCATAAACTCAAGATTGCCTCAGTTGTCTTAAATGTTTGCAAAAGGATTATTTAAAAAAAAAGATAAAAATTAAAAGATTTCATTGCAGGTTTGTGGTGGCTGAGATTTCAGCAAAATATATCCTAAGTTTATATATTTCAAATAAACTTAACATGAACAGCTTTTAGTAGATTTAAAGCCAAAAAATCCCTACTAACCTCGGAGAGTTTTCTGGCACTGGAGGCTAACAAATCCCTCATTACTAGCTCTCAGTTTCTTCTCTATGTAACATTCAGCAAGACTTGTCTCTAGGCCTCTGCAAGTTATTTGGAAGCAGTGTGATGGTTCTGTGATGTTGTAGTCAGTGTGGTAATATTCAGCACCTCTGTAAAGATACAAATAACAGTAACAAATTCTGTAATTTCACAGTGGATTGTCCTCTGCTTTTATTGTTTAGAATTTATATGATTTTCCCCAGTGTTAAGGAACTTTGATGGCTAAAGCAGCTTAAAAAAAAAAAAAACAGATTTCCCATGGAGTGTTATAAGGGTAAGGAGGAAAGTAGGAGATATTTACTTTGAAAGAAAAAGTTAAACAAAGTGCCAGTTTTTGCCAATTCCATCATAGAACTGGCACTGAATCTGTGCCACTCTCATCTCAGTTACTGTGTATGGCAATAGATAGAAACCATCTTGCATGAGGTTGAGTACTGGTGGTGCCATCAAAACCAATGCATATTGAGGAAACTCAGGCTACTGCAAGATTGGCATTCATTAATCATCTGAATGTAATCCTCTACCAGTGTGTCTCTCTTCTCTCTTAAGAAAATAAGGAATGAGTAAATAAATAACTGGAAAGACTTGCAATGGGAGTCAAGGGCTGAATGCTCTGTCCCAGAACAAACCTCTCTCTATGCTATCTAAAGAGGTATGAATCAGGGCTGGGAAATATTTAATCCTCATCTATAGGGAACAAATGTAGGCACTGTGATAGCATTCTTAGTCTCTGAGAGGCAGTCCTATGTGGCTCAGTCACGCTATTGTTTTAAATCATTATGTACAGGATATAGAGTTGACAGTTCATGATGACCTCACTGTGTAAATCAGATCATTGGTATGGACTTGGAAAAAGAACAAGCTGTTTGTGGCCTCAGCTGTTTCTGGTGGGCAAAGCAAAAAATGGTGATGAAGGGTCAAGGGATGAAGGAAAAAATACTGTGTTCTGGTTCTTGTTAGTCTGGCTGCTGCAAGTAGCAAAACACAGCTGTACTGTTTGGCCAGCCAGTTTAAGAAACTTTTCCCTACGAGCAGTTAATTGATCACAGCCATTTGGGGATCAGCCATCTATGCACTTTCCCTTATACAGACTTGAGAGAAAACTCATCTATCAGACTTCAACTTTATTTTAAAAGTAAAATACTAATCGTTTGAACAGTTGTTATTTGTAAGAAAATGCAGAAATCTGTTTTGGCTTTTGCTTACAGGAAGCTTTACTGTAGCCGATATATTGTTCATGGATTTTCTCTTAATAGTTGGCTGACTGACTGACCCTTATAGAAGCATCACTATTCGTTCACATCCATTGCAGTCACAGAGAGAGAAATTCCCCAAACTTACAATTCAAAGCCAAGGTGTCTGCAGGCCACGTTTGCTTCATTCATAGTCCACATACTCTCACATACGAAAAGGTCCTCGTTATTGACAGGTTTTACTTGAAGCAAATGTGAATCCTTATAGACCAAGGAGATTTTAAATGTTTCTAAAAATAAATAAATAAATAAATTGCATACAAATTTGTATTCTATAGATGTATCTATTGGAAAGACAGCACAGGAAGAAACCAGACCTAAAGTATGTTGTAGGTATCCAGAGTTCATATGGAATGAACAGCAGGTTGGGAATCAGAAGCTTGAGGTATCACTGCAGATTTTTCTGAGAACTGATGTTACGGCTTTGAGCCTGATGCTTTTTAAAAATATACCAGCTTCAGAACAAACGAAGATAACAGTTCCTGCCCTGGAAGCATATTTGGAGGTCTTCTGAGGAAAGGTTGCATCTTAGTGTAAGACTTTTGTTAGAGCACTTTCAGTAATCAAATGAATGACTGATACATTTTGAAAAAAAAAATAGATCATAGTACCTGTGGACATGCATTTTCCCTTGTTCAGAAACTTTGCTTCGGGACGTTGACACTCATAGCTCTTTAGGTGGCAGTAAGTATGAAACTGCTTTCCAGTGGTAGAACAAACTGAAGTGCCATTCTTTGGACACTGGTAGGGAAGCTTACAGAGACATTTTCCCTCCACACATCGTTCCCATGGGTCACAAAAAACTTTCTTACAAGACTTGTGTGTGTATCTGTTGCTTAAACAGTCTTCTAGGAGGTAAGTAGCTCGCTCAGCTGGCTGACTGTCTTGCTCAAGTGGCTGAGCAGGCTCAACATATGAAAACTGTTCTGTATTATTAGATGCTGCATTCTGCAAGGCACAAAATAAAAAACAAAACAAAACAAAACAAAAGCAACCCAAAACCAAATATTGAACAGGACTAGAGATGGCACTAGCAGTTCTGCAGATCCCCTGTATACCTCAGCAAAGTGATTGTGAGCCTTTTCCTATCTTGTAAGAAATGAAAGTGCTAAATATCTGTAGTGTTTTTCCCCTTGTCTTTGAGATATCCACCTTTCTGTTTTTCTGGATTTTTTTTCTTTTCTTTTTCAGATCATTCACCTGGTATGATTTTCACTATTACTGGTCACTCACAAACTATACTCTTCAAAAATCAGCTCAAGTGTGCAACAGAAGATGATAAACATTTCAAGCCAGTGGTTTATAGCACACCACAACAATGGAACCGTAAGCAAATTAAAATATAAGGGGACTTAACAGAATCACACAGAATGGCCAGGGTTGGAAGGGACCTCAAGGATCATGAATCTCCAACCTCCCCTCCCCCCCCACCACAGGCAGGGCCACCAACCTCCACATTTAATACTAGACCAGGGTGCTCAGGGCCCCTTCTAAGAAGAAAAATAAAATTAAAAAAAAAAGAAAAGTAGGAACTTGATTTTTTTGAAGACCTTTTTATTGTCTCAGTTGACTTTAGCCAATAACTACTTAGAAACAAATAAATCTAAAATTAATGATTTGTTTCATTGCAAGTAACACATGTAAGTATCTTCAACAAAAGTTAAAATTGAATTCCCCTCCCAGTCCATTTTGTTCCCGTATCTTTGATAGCAGTGGGTTTGCAGTGTGGTTTCTGGTTGTTACAGACTGCAAGAAGTGCTCCTGATCCTTCCATCTGACTGACTGTCTCTAGGTAAGTGATAACACCTATCCCTGCAGCTCTCTGCTTATTCTGTTGCTGCCTGAGTGCTTTTGTTCACTAAGATCTGAGGGTAAGGGGAATGTTGAAACGTGAAAAATATGTAGCTAGACTTAGAATAAAGATGAAAAAGAAATGTCAGTTGTCAGATGAGATTTATCAGCTTTGAGTGCATCCACTGAATCAACAGAGCCAAAGTTTAAAGTTCTCATGAAGAAATCCTGGCCTAAGTAAAGGCAGTGGGAATGTTGCCGGGACAGAATTTAATCCGAGCCCCTCCCACCCTTTTAAAGGCTGTATAATCTTAATAAATTCTTCCTGTTCTTCTCAGGTCAGTAGAATCCTATGCATTATCTTTAAATTTACATACCAAACTCTGAGCCAGACCCTGCTTGGCTTAACTCCCATATTGCACTAGTTGTTTCTCCTCAGTTTTGACTGAGTAGCAACAGAAGGTGCTGATCTTTATCTACGGGTTTTTCTGAAAAGCTCAGAGTTTGCTGAACAAGGAGCCCATCAGAACTTCCTGAGAGGCTTTTGCCAGAAGGGATTTTATAACAAAAGCTTTCTGAGCTGAGCCACACTTGCAAGTTGGGTTTAGCATAGGATCCCGATTAAAAGATTTTCCAGAAGCTTGTTACTGTAAACCTCAGATAGAACCAATATATGGAGGAGAAACAGCAAGATTCAAATTCTCAAACTGGACTAAAACGTACAAAATGCAAATGCTACAAAAGGAAATAATTTTAAAAAATCTATCTTTCTGTTTTTATAATAATAAACAGTTTTAACTGTTCAGTTTTTTTGTTTGTTTGTTTATTTCTAAATAAGTGGATACCACAAACGGGACAAACAATCAGTTCTTACCTTTGCTCGACAGAAAGAAAAGAAAGAGAAGCAAACCAAGAAAACCGCAACCACTCTCATGATGAAGTTTTATCTCTTTGTAGAGAAATTCCCCTGGCCGGGATTTTCCCAATAGCCAGTTGTTAGGTTTGTGTTTAATTTTTAACCATTGGTAAAACACTTTGAAGTGGACTCAGAAACAATTACAGGAGCCTGGAATATTAACGGATGAGTCTGATATCTCCACGCAGATCCCACCCCATTTAACCTGTTATACAGTACGTAGAGACCCAAAGGAAAGCCCTTGAAGCCAGCGATTACAAGGCAGTGCTCAGCAGGGTCTCGCTCCCCTGCTGTTACCAAAGCAGACCGACCGAGCGGCGGGGCCGACTTCCTGGCAGCAGGCAGCCGGCTCTGCAGGACGCTGTCAGGGTAGATGTGTTTTTAGGTGAGATACGTCTGTCTCCGTGCCGGCAAGCAGGCAGACAGACAAACGGAAACAGCAACGCTACTATCTCCGTGCGAGAGTGTAACCAGCCGACATTTGCTCAGACAACTGCTGGGGCAGCGGGCGCTTTCCAGGAAAACCGCAGTCTCACCGGTACCACGGATCTCCAGCCCCTGCGAAGGCCCATTTGCGACAGTGCCGCTAGGCGCTTGTTTCTCCTTTACGGCAGGATGGCTGCTTTTCCGGCGCGTGACGATGAGGTCATCAGGCGGCGCTTGTATGGACGCTAGGTACGCACGTGTGCGGGGCTAGGGTTTATGGTGCGGGTTGGGGCGTGCGCGGGCGTCGTTAGGGCCGTTAAAGCTGTTGGTCTGCCTTCAGGGTCCGGCGCCGCTTCCAGGGAGGTCGTTCTTTGGGAAGCTGGCGGTCCGGCGCCTCTCCGTGGGCCGCGGAGTATGATGCTCGACCCTGATATGTCCCGTTCCTCATGATGGATAGGCATTGCCGTAGAATGGTTAAGGTTGGAAAAGACCTCTGAGATCGTCTAGTCTCACCTTGCCCACTAGCCGAGTCCCTCAGTACCACTTCCACACGGTTCTTCAGCTCCTGCGGGGACGGTGACCGCCACCTTCCTGGGCAGCCTGTGCCAGTGCCCGACCACTCTTTTAGAGAAGAAACTTTTCCTAAAATAGGCGGTGTTTAATGGGGGAACTTGATTATGGCTTACCTGCATGTTTTCAGTCGGGGCTGAGGTGGGTAACCATTAAACAGGACCATCGGGAGACCTTGATTCAAACAATATGTTAAACAACAAATACGTACTTCTTAAACCGATTTTTTGTCTACAATGTAGGAGGCAGTAGAGAATGTCTTTTCGTGGAAGAGGAGGTGGTGGCGGAGGACGAGGAGGTGGTGGAGGAGGAAGAGGAGGAGGCGGCTTTAATCGTGGAGGAAGTGGTGGTGACAGAGGTGGCTTTAATCGTGGTGGGCGAGGTGGCTTTGGACGGGGAGGTGGACGAGGAGGCTTCAACAGAGGCGGATATGACCAGGGCCCTCCAGAGAGGGTAGTTTGTAAGTTATTTGCAGAGGCTGTAATCATGTAACTTGCAATGAGTGTTTAAGATATTCAGTTTGTTTGTTCTTTATTTCAGTACTGGGAGAGTTCATGCATCCGTGTGAAGATGATCTTGTTTGTAAATGTAAAACAGAAGAAAACAAAGTTCCATATTTCAATGCACCAGTGTACTTGGATAATAAGGAACAGATTGGCAAAGTGGATGAAATTTTTGGGCAGCTACGAGACTTCGTATCCTTCACAAATCCTGTTGGCTTCTTCAATGGGTTTGCTCTAAAATATGAAAATATTTAATTTCCTTATTCTACTTCATATGCTTAAAACAGGTTTAGAACACCCTTCTGATCTGAATTTATTAATTTGCAGATTTACTCTTTTCACCAGTGTTACTCAAAGTTCAGAAACTTTTTTTCTTCTTACAATAACAACCAAGAAATATAAAGGGAGCTCAAGTGTAGTTTGCGGTTCCTTAGCTCCTTGTTTAATCTTGAGTATTGTTGAACAGTCAGCCAGCAGCTTACCATCCTTGCACAACCATCCTTGCACGCTTGAGAACCACAGGATCCATAGTAGTTTGTGGAGTTACAGAGAGCATCCACCGTGTTGCTGTAAGTTGAAAGAAAGCTTGTGGTTGGGTTGAGCAGCCCCTGCTGGCCTGTTTCTTTCCACAGCAAGGCAGATGTACAGGCCAGGACAGTCATAGCAAAGCTACTGTAGAATCCACATTGTTCTGGATAAGTCTGAGAGACAATCAGTTGTCAAACAAGTTTGTTTCTTTATGGTTACATTTTTATGTATTCTTTTCTGCTGGTATGTTTATGCCTCAATACATGGGAAGGAAAAAGTAATGTTTGCATGAAATGTTGTCTTTGTAACTACGAGGAAAATTAGAAACAGTTATTCCTGATCATTAAGTTGTAATTTTTCATTTGTAGTAATGATGTTTAGCTTCATTTATGGAATATGAATTTAGAAAATGTCTGAAGTGTGTAGATTCTTCCATGTAATAATCAAATGTGATACTTCTCATTTTTATTCCTGGTGTGTTCCTTAAAGAAGCTAACAGTATTTTTCAGTGAAACTGTCTGAGAACATGAAAGCTTCTTCATTCAAAAAAATGCAAAAGGTTAGCTGATCTCAATAACTATTTATTCTATTATGTGTCATCAGTTAGATATGTAATCAAATAGATAATTAAAGCTTTATTAAGAGATTTTACTGACTTTAAAAGCTAGCTGTCCTTTGAAAATGTTTGTTTATTCATCCTTTTCACTTTTACATCTGCTATGCACTTCCCTCTCCTAAATAACAAAAAAAGTGAATGAAACTTAATAAATATGTATATCATATGTATTTTAATAACTTCATAACACTGATTTATTTTGCATATGATTTTTTTTACTTGGCTTTTTGCAAAGGGCAATTTGACATAATCAGTTAAGACGAAATTGTGACTGTTTGTTAAGGATTTAACCTGGGTTTTCTCAAAGCCTAATAGAACTTTCTTCCTGCAGTTTTACATTGATCCAGCAAAGCTGCTACCCCTTCAGAGATTTTTACCAAGGCCTCCTGGAGAAAAAGGTGCTCCTCGAGGAGGTGGTAGAGGAGGACGTGGTGGAGGACGTGGAGGAGGAAGGGGTGGTGGTAGAGGTAAGATCCCAAGAATGAAAATTGCAGAAAAAGTTATTCCATTTCTTCGTTTTTGGTGAACTTACCATTACATACTTGAATAAACACTTCTATTGCAAAGAAGATAGGCACTTCATAGTTTGATAATTCAGTTTATGTTTGATAACTCAGTGGAAGAGACAGTGATACCTTTCCAAGGCAAGAGCTAGTTTCTGTAATGCAGAAAAGGGAGTACGCTGATCTGTAACCAAGACAGGAAGCATAACTATTAACCACTTTGTGGTAAAAGATAGTGGATAATACCCATTCAAAACAATGAAAGCAGTATTTTTACTGTGTTCTAAAATGTAGTTTGAACAAAATACTTGAAATGCGATGTTTGAGAGAAGGGGTAACTGATCTAGTAGATCTCATCCTTTACTTTTTAAGCACAGTCTATGGTGTACTCAGTTAAAGTAGAATTCTCACCACTCTGCCACCTTGTGTGCAAGGAGGCACAAGTATGTAAAGTTTTTTCTTTTATTGTTTTGAAGATTTCATATGTAATAATTGTGGTTAACATTTTTAATGACAGCTAAAAATTATCTTGAAGTTTTATTAATGCATTAGTGTTTTAGACATTGGATACTAGATATTCAGCACCACCTAAAATGCTGCAGATGGTCCTCAGAAGAAAGAAGGTACTAGGATGAAGCAATTGGCTCTTTCTGATTTGGTTTGGATTTCCTAACTGTCAATTAAAGCTGTTGTTATGTATAACAAAATTTACATGCTCCAGAAAGTGTAACTTGTTTCCTACATTCAGGAGGATTTGGAGGAGGAAGAGGTGGAGGAAGAGGAGGAGGAGGAGGATTTAGAGGTGGAGGAAGAGGAGGAGGAGGATTCAGAGGAGGAAGAGGTGGTGGAGGAGGTTTTAGAGGTGAGTGCGCAGATGTATTTTTTCCATAATAAGAATGGCTCTGTTTCTAAACTTTTAAGTATTAAACAGAATGCTGTATTTTCTTTTCCTCTCATATGGGTGTTCATAGTTTTATGTAAAAACTTGATGTGCTTCACACTAACTCGTTTAAACCAAAGTTCAGTGTTTTCTGTTTTTTGATGCTTTTTAAAGACCCTGCTAGTTTCTACATGAAAAGGGACTATAAGAACAGACAGCAATGATAAATTGTTTTATCAATTCATGCAGTTTTATATCTATATTTTATTTACTGAAACAGCATCTAAGATAATTTGAATTAAGTATCTATAATAATGAATTAAGTGACCTTTTTCCCTCTTAAAATAGGGAGAGGACATTAAAAATGGAGCAATGAGAATCTTCCTGCTGACTTACCATGTTACCTGCAGAAGTGAAGAGCAAGGAAAAAAGTTATAAAAGACCATGAAAAAGTTGTTTGTAAAGAACTGGAAGCTATGAAATGACAGTTAACAACTGTCAACAACCGCGGACAAAGTGTGTAGCCCTTGGTGAAGAATGAAAGACTGCTCAGAACATACTTGAACTTTTTTAACTAAGACAGAGTTCGTTGTTATTCTTAAATTGTTTGTTTCTGGCAAATGACTTAGTCAGTGCTTGACTTCATGTTGGAGTCTGGAGTAAACAATCAACTGAAACTTTTTTTTTTTAAGAAAAGCCCCCTTGGGTTCACTGCATGCACATCTGTCAGTATGAACTTGTTACCTCTGTGTGATTTGGATAAGATCCCTTGTTCTCATTGTTTTATATGGAGTCTTTTGGGTCACCCTAAAAAGGAGATGTGATTTAAATAACCGTTATGGACCATTTTTTACAAACTAAACTTCAGGGTTTTTTTTTTTTTTTGTGGTTAGAACTTTTTTAATGCGTAAAAACAAATATGAGGAAAGGAAGATAGCAAATAATATTTTGTAGATTTTTCTCTCTGAATCTTAATGAAAGCAAAGGCATTAAGATACACTCTTAGAAGATATTATCTGATGAGTAATACAGACTTAATTCCATTCATAGGTCACCTAATTGTATCTAATTTCACTGATAATAAAGTTGCTAAGAATTTTTAACTGCTCCCCTCTTCCTCTTAGCCAGTTTCTCTTGAGGTTTTGATGTCCTGGCAGATCACCTCTGTTGTGCTCTGAGCTTGCTAAAATGAAATAACTCATTGTTGTGGAAATGCTGAATTATGGCCTGAACCAGTGATTGAACACCTGGTGGGAAGGCAGGGTCAACCCAGGGGAGCTGAGGTACATGCAGAAAGGCAAGAAGGGATGGAGCCAGGATCCACCCCTTCCCCAACCTCATTTAAGGATTGGCAGTGGAGGTGTGGGTATCTTGGTGGAGATACCTGCCTCCCTGAGGCCTTCTAAAGATAAGTGGCTTTTTTCCTTAGTTTCTTTGTCCATGGCTGCTGCATTTGGTCTTGTCCTCATTTGCTGCAGCCAACAACTTTGCTACCCAGCTGTTATCGTTGTACTTTTCATCACAGCACAGCATTACACCCATCATAGAGCTCCTCTGTATGTGGTCCTTTCAGTTTAGTGTTGCTTTAAAAATAAGTGGGAAATTCTGCATGAATACATTCCCAGTCTCTTAAATCGGATTTATTATGAGGGCTGTTGAAAAGCTAGTAAGTGTCTCTTAAAGCACAGAGAATCACCTTGTCATCTATATTCAACTTTGGAAATTGAGTAAGAATAGGAAAGAATCTGTCTCATTTCATCAGGAGCAGGGAGTCTATTGGCAGATCTCATACCAAGCATTTTTGAGAACAGATCTGTAGATTAATTGACATGAAAATTCTGAACATCATGTTTGACGTGGGTGGGAAATATATTTCAGAACTGATCATGCTGTTGTACTTTTAATGACCATGATTGCTGGATCCATTAGGCTTGTTCTTACCAAAAGAAACAGGTAATTTGTCAGTTCTAAAATTGGACGAACTACTAGTCACTAACAAACACAACTCTTAGTTCTGAATTATTTCTGAAACAAAGCTTGAGCAAGCTAGCAAGAAAGCTTCAAGAACTCAGTTGCCTAGTCTGAACACCTGCTCTATGTAGGACAGCAATTAAAAAATGTTTAGAAGAAACATCCAATTTTCTATTAGATCTGCTTTTATGAGAAGAAACCAAGTCTATTCGACCACAACATCATCAGGAATTATAGAATAGCAGTTATTTTGTTGGTGTTACTATCCATTTAACTTTAATTAGGTCAATTAAATACGGACCTTTAGAAGTATTTAGTCTTTTGTTACTATGTATTGCAAGGTCTATGGAGGTAGGGCTCAGACTTGAGATATTGTAGAATTGTAGCAGTTGTAAGCTGTCTCTGTCATACCACATTGCAACTGTATCACCAGTGCTTCAAAACCATGTTTGTAAATGCGTTCTCTGCAACAGTTGCATTCTTCACCAATGCTTCTGTGCCTAGTTGTGGATAGCTGACTTAGATCTTTCTTTATTCTTCTGGCTTTGGAAGACTGGGATAATGCAATCCTCATTCTTACACCTAAATTTGTGCTCCGTGCTGCTGTTCTTGCTGCATGCTTTAGAGATGCACTTTCTCCAAGGGTATCAAAAGGCTGGCTGTCTGGATGTTACCTTTCAATTGCACTGACGTGGCAACTGACAAAATGCCATGTTGCAGCCTAGAGCAAGAAGTGAATAATTTGAATCTTACAGCAGGTGGAGTCGTGAGTCATACTCAAGTCTGAAGCCACTGAAAGGCAAAAGCCTTGCACTTTTGTACTGGTGCAGTTACATTCAGTTTGGCAAAGCAATGCCTTGGCAATAAATGGTATATTGAGAAAATCAAGGTTAGTATGTGAAACAGGGCAATGATTTGGAGGCCCCTTATCAGGGCATCTTGTTAGTCACCTGGAGGTCTCTCTACAGAATCAAACTTTTTAAAATAACAGTTTAAATCTAGAGACTGGGTGTGTGAGAAATTAATAATTTATTAATTTGTCTGCCTTTGGTTTTGAACCATTTAAATGTTTGTGGAGTTAAGATTAAAGGGAAGTACTGCCCTATACAGCCCTCTAGTGTTGATGCACTTTAATGAATGTGGGAGGATTTTTTTTTAAAAAAAAGCAAGCAGTATTTCTACTTCTACCATGTGTGGATTGAAATATTTTTTTAAATATTTTACGTATAAATATAACATTTACAACTTGCTAAACCAGGTAATAAATCTTGTGTTGCCCCATATCTGTATAGACACCTACAAATTGAAGGATTGACTCAAATATAAACTACACTATTTTTGTACTGATCAGAGCCAAGTCAAAAGGAAAAACTCCATAATTCAAGGGCATTTGTTATATCTTAATAGTGAATTAATTGCTTTATATTTTGACTTTGTTTTATAAACTGCAGTTTTCTAGGGGAGAAGAAAAAAGCTTTTCTTTTTTTGGAGATGTGCCTGGATTACTTAAGTTGTAGGAGCTGGGGGTGTTTAGATTGCAGAGGAAAAGGCTCTGGGGAGACCTCATTGCAGCCTTCCTGAACTTGTAGGGAGCTTAAAAGCAAGAGGGGGAGCAACTTTTTTCTTGGTCCAATAGTGAAAGGACAAGGGGGAATGACTTTAAATATAAGACGGAAGATTTAGTTTAGGTGTTAGGAAGAAATTCTTTACTCAGAGGGCAGTGAGGTACTGGCAATGGGGCCCTGGGCAGCTGAGCTGGTGGGGTGGCAATCTTAACCAAGGCAGTAAGCATTGCAAGCTCTGACTTCTATGCAAGATGCATGATTGGAAATGCTTATGAAAATATTGCCAAGGTTTCAGGGGAAGTAAGTAAAGATATCAAATTATCATTATGCTTTTATCTTTCAAGATGGAATGATTAAATACTAGGAAAGTAGATTCATCACTGAACAGATAATTTTCCTTTTCAAATCCCTCCCACCCTGTTCCTGCCTAATCCTCTTCTGACAGGGAAAATGCCTCATTGATACAAGTGCCCTGCAAGCTAAGGGTGAGTGTAGTTCTATGCTAGTAAAATGTTTGCTGGTAGTGTTGTGATACGTGATCTGTAACAGTGATGACTGATTGTCATGACTGCATAGGTTTTATACCAAAATTTGCTCAACTATAGGTTGAAATGGATGAAAAGTAGAGGATGTCTATTTTAAAAAGCTGAGATTGGATGGGGAAAGCTCTGTGAGTGTTTAATGGGTTAGAGAAGAGAGTAGCTCTTCGGGTATATGACCTTCCTATGGGATGGCTTTGTTCCTCAGTGCTGTTTGGGGCAGTAAATCCTTCCTGCTGCTCGCACACATGGTCTGAGCTGCCTGTGAGCTGCAAGTAGAATTTTTATATCGCTTTTATATGTAGTATGGGTACAAATTGTTTGAAGGGGAAACAGTGGTAAAGGCCTTTGATTGTGTTGATGCTGCATGTAAACTCTTTGGGCAAAGGTTTGTTGCAGCTCATATTTACACAGTATTTTGTAAAAGGCCTTTGTGATCTCCCTCTAGCATGCTGCTACCTCATAACCGAAGAAACAAAAGCTATATCACCTTCGAAAAATGCTCAATAATTTTCTGTTTAAGAAAACTTGCCCAAGCCTACCTGAGTAAGTCTGAGAGAAGGAGAGTGTTCAGACTTTATGGCATGTTCAACACCCATTTTCTGCAGACCAGGAGATTTTAGAGATGTGACAATTTTCCAAATGTCAAGCTTCACTTCAGGAAATACTGGATTAGGTTGTTGTGTCTGCCATTGGTTTGAGTGTTTCAATTAAAGTAAGAATCTTGCAGAGGAAAAGGAAGTATTTAAAGGTTTGAAGGGGTGGATACAGTCAAGGTATTTTAATGAAACTGACATTTGTGTTCTTGCTATGGTTGTGTTCTCTGCGATGGTAGGAAGTAATTCCAAACCAGGCTGAAGGCCAACTAACCAGAGTCAACTTTCTCCTGAGGTTTCTCAGGCGTTGCACAAGAGATTTGAAGTAAAAAAAAGTTTTGGGGCATGTGACTGTTAATCTCTTTAGCAGTAAGAATAAAGTTTGAACATCCTGTTGGAAATGTTCTTGGTTCTGTGTTGCTCTTTGTTTCAGTTAACAAGCTTTTCTCCTGCATAGATTGGGGATATAAACTTCTTTGCGCCCTGTCCAATTAGATCATGCTTGGAAGCTGTCAGCACTGATGGTGAGGCAACCCTCCCCTGCCTTTTTTTTTTTTTTTTTTTTTTCAGTTGTTCAGTCTGCTGGATAATGAAAGAATTTTTCTGACGGGGTTTGGTAGTGTTTTGTCCTCTAGATGAATTACTGCAAGATATAGACGACAGTCTTGTGTGTCCAAAATGCATTGGAATAATTCAGCCAACTCCTCAGAAAGTGATGCTGAAGCTCATTCTGCCTTTACACAGACTGAGCACAACATAGTAGCAGCTTACTTAATAACAGCAGGTATGGGCATTGATCAACTGTTGCATAACTTTTTATAGCAGAACTGTAGATTGAATGCTTATTTTGTATAGTAACAGCAATGTGTTTCATTCTGACTTACAAGTGACCAATGGCTTTTCTCCAGAGTTTACCGACAAGTCAACAATCAGACTGAAGTGTGCAGAAACCTACATCTGCTCTCTGCTCTATATTTGAAGGCAGTGCTATGTGTTAAAAAATACATTTTGTTGATATGTAATTATAGAAGAGAGTAAGAATTAATTTCCGCCAGCTTGCAGAAGAGATAAAAATAGGGCATAGCTGTCACATCTTGCATTTTTCTGTGATGTGCTTGAAGCTATCTTGAGATTTCTTTTGGGCCACATGTTCACAGTAATATATGTGTAGTCTGAGCATGTGAGCGGGTGTCTGATAGGGGGATGTAAGGGGAAGGGTTGGAATGTGACCGAGGAGGAGGGAGGAGCTGGTCATTTATCAGAGAAGAGCAGACTCCACTTGCAGATGTATTTTTCACTGATGACCCGTGTTAGAAAAAGCATGCTGCAAGGCTTGACATGTGTTTTCTGTGACTGCAATGGCCTTTGGCTTAACTTGAATGATATAGGTTTTGTTGTGGGGTTTTTTTTTGTTTTTTTTTTTTTGTTTGTTTGTTTGCTTTTTTAAATTTCTCATTATTGTAACTGTAAGTGTTGCAGAAATGTTTTTCTGAAGCATTGACTGCTGTAGCAATGGAATAACATCTTGTCCAAATACTGAAACCTGCTGTGTTTAGAAACATGCCTTCTATATTTTTGGTGTGGAAAATAAGATGAATTTATAAATACGTTATTCCTAGATTATACCATACATTTTCTATGTTATTATTAGCTTTTCAAATACTTCAAAATGTTTACTTAGAGATATGAAATAGTCATTTTATTTAGCATGTATGTCTGAAGTGGGGAATATCAAATCACTGATATAGAGGACATTTTGCATCAACATGAGTGCAAAGGCAATAGTTAATTTCAGATTTTTACTGAAATTGTTAGAATACACATAGATAGGTGTGCCTGTTGAGCAGCTGTAGGGCTGGATGACGGTGAAGTACTGGAAGACCAAATCAACTCCGCAGTACCACTACGTCGTTTGCAAGTAACTTCATCTACTAGGTGCTGCTGATATGTGCAATGCTTTGTTATATTCTAATTGATGGTTTATGCTGTATGTAACTGGCTGGTATTTTCAGACGGTTTGAGCACTGATGTTAAGAATCAAAGCTATCATGTATTATCCAGAATCAATTCAGCTTCTTCTCAGAATGGGAGAGTCCAGTAAAAATCTGTCAGCTGTATGTTGGACTTTGCTTTCTTAGTAAAGTTTTTGACAGTAAGGTCTATAGCATCGTTCAAACTATCGTTGTTTACTGCACCAAATAGCAACATCAAGAAGATTTAGTGTATGTTAATAAGCAGATATCTAGGAAATGCAATGAAGGTCAGATACAGTGTTCAACATTCTGTTCCTTTTTAGAAGGATTGAATGCTTTCTTCTTTCATAAATAATTGCTTTGTTTTCTGAGGAAGGAAGCCATTATTAACTATTGCAGTCTACAGCGGCTCAACATTAATTTCAGTGATGACAGTGGTCCCCTACTCAGACTGCAGGAAGAAGCTTTATGGTTGTCCTTCACCTTGTAGTGGTGAAGTGCTCTGGGGTAATTTTAAATTGCTGACTGGAAAAGTAAATTCCATGTAATGCATGGACCTAACCTTCTCCTTCACTGTTTTTGATGCCACTACTCGTGTGTCCTGATTTTCTCTGTTAGGGCTTGTTTGCATTCCATCAACCCTTAGTTTTTGCTATTTCTCTGGGAAAAGGAAAAATAATGTTTTTGTTCTTGACCATGTGATATAAGAGCCTTTTATCCTCATATTGTCAAAATCATAAGGTGTAGTGAAAAATGTGGGAATAATTGTTGAACTCTCAGCTATTTCACACACCAACTGGCAGCATCCATGTGCTTTTTCTGAATCAGATGAGTTTGTCCTAGCTGATGATATGAGGTTACTGAAGTCTTTGGTCCAGTCTACATTATCTACCCTCTAAGAAATGAGGTCTGGTTAACTGGTTCCTGGAGAAACTTTACTTTTCTGTTTGACTTATAAATTCTCTCTTTCTGAGAATACCTGTTTATTGAGTCTATATATTTTTTTCCTTCTTTGTTCACGATTAATCCATCTTTTTTCTTGCATGTTACTCTCCAGAACATTTTTTGGTCTCTATTATTAATTTGTTCTCGTACTTCTGAAATCTTTGATCAGTATAGGCTTGGCACTTTCAGTGCTTTCTTTCTTCTTCTTTTTTTTTTTTTTTTTCTTTATTATTGTTAAGTTTGGGCACTAAATATGTGTCTAGCAGGATCCTTCCTTTGCCCTGAAGGTAGGAGTTTACAGTTCTGTTGTATTTCTTACTTCATTCTAGGTAACTGTAAAATCATAGAATCACCAAGGTTGGAAAAGATCTCCAAGATCATCCAGTCCAACCAATACTACACCTGCTAAGCCACATCCCTCAACACAACATCTAAATGTTTCTTGAACACCTCCAGGGACTATGACTCCATCACCTCCCTGGGCAGCCTGTTTCCATACCTGACCACCCTCTCAGAGGATAAATTTTTCCTTATGTCCAACCTGAAATCTTTTAAAGCATGTCTCATAAGAAGCCTATACGGTTTTGGAAACCTGTGACTGACAGTCTTCCTCTCCAGTGTACTACCTACCAATGGGGCTGAGTAGGCTGGCATGGAAGCTGCTTCTTTTTGCTCACTTCATATCTGATCACCAGCTTCCCGCTTTTGTTTATTTTAGGGGCTCAAGGCATCACAGCATTGTTCCTGAAGTGTGTGAAATGTCATAGATGAATGGTTGTAACTTCCAACATCACATTTAATGTTATTCTTATGTACTATGCCTACCTGAGGAAAGACATGCTTGGTCTTTTGAAAAGAGAATAGAAAAGAGAAATAACTAAGAATGAAGTCTTTTCTGCAGACCTTATTTCACTCCTGAGGGCAAAAGATGGATTTCACTGTGCTGGATTGCTTGTTGCTTGGTTTCCATTGAGCCTTATTATCTGTACTTGTTTGTATCTGCTGGGCCTTGTGACCATGGTATTAAGGATGTGAAGTTAATATCCTGTATAGAGCCCGATGTATTATTTCAGACTTTCTTGCTCTGTTTTCACCACAACACCTATTCACTGAAGTTCTTTATAGAATTATCCATACAGTACTGTAATGATGTAAATCACAGTGTTCTGGTTCATAGGTGAAGTGTTTTAACAGGAAAAAAAAAAAAATAAAAAATTCCAAAGGGCATTTCCATGGATATTGCACTGTTCAGCTTTTACCAACGTAACATTCCACTGTGCTTGTAATCCAAGGTGCTCAAATTGTACAGATGTCCGTAAGTTTAGCAGTTGGGTCAGTGGTATTGTAACAACTGTATGAGACAAGGGAATTCATAAGCAGCTTACTAATTCCTGTTACCACTTATAGGGTTGGTTTATACTTTTTATTTATTATATTTTAAATTTATAATGGCTGTGTTTTCTTGAATGTTGCAATTCTCCATTTTGCTGATAAAGGGCTGTGATGCTTTCTCAGGTGAGGTGCAAACTGGTTGTATGGGAACTGCTGAATCATGGCCTGATTGATCACCTGAGGCAAGCAATGAGTCAGCCATGGGAGCACAGGTGAAGGCAATTCACCTGTGCTGTCGGAAAGGGTGGAGCCTGGCTGCACCTCTCCTAGACCCATTTAAGAGCTGACCACCAGTGGGAAAGGATCTCTTCTGGAGATCCCTCCTCTGGAGTTTTGCAGTGAGCCCAGGATGTGGGTAAGCTTTCTATCTGTTTTCTTTTTGTTATTATAATCTGCTTTGCTAAACTCTCTTGCTTATTTCATAATTACAACGTCTTTATATTCATTGGCTATACACTGGTATTTTAACTTTATTAGCTCTTATGCCTGTAACTAATAGTGGGATAGTAGAAATCCAGATGATGGTAGTTTGCTCTGAGTATTTCTGAGTCTGAAGAGAATAAAACCAGAAGAATAAAAAGAACCTATTTTGTGGGATTGCTATGGAAATTCATTGTAAGTGCCATGCAGTAGGGTTTGGCTCAGAGGAAGGAAGAGCAAGAAAAATGAGGACATAGAGGTTTTAATATACGTACCAGTACATACAGTTGGACAAAGGTTGCTGATACAGAGGGTCTTAAGGAGCAGTGTCCTGCATCGCTTGGAGAGCACTGTGAAGCTCCAAGAAAACTCTGAAGTCATTGGACATGAAGACAGGACAGTGTGCATGCTAGCTTTAGTCATAAGTCTATTTTTTTCTCTATTACAACTCACCATTTCTGGTGTTGCCTCATAGTCCTCGGGCAGAGTCTGGACACCTTTGGTGCCACCTCTGTTGTATATTTCTGAAGAATTAAATGTAAAAGCACTTGTCATGTTGGGGATTTGGGGATGCCTGTGTTTAAGCTTCTGGGACGCAGGGAGATTGAGCCCTGGAGTCCTATTTCTGCAAAGAAAGCAGACAAAAATCCTGTGCCAGAGGAAAGAAACAGGGTAGGAGATATTCCCTCCCCAAAAGAACCACAATTACTCTGATTTGAGAGGTAGGAGCAAAATCAGTACACAGCTGGACTTCTTTGATTATGATACTGACTGGAGCTTGTCAGATAAAGAAAACAGCCTTTGTGAGGCCAGCGTGCCACTAATGTGAGCCAGAAATAATGCTTGCAGAGAATTCAGGCCTTGCAAGTAGAGATTTGTAACTGGCTGGCATGGAGATAGCAAAGACAATGCCTAGTTGCTCATGTTTTATATCCTTTTGCCTGGGAATATTACTTAAATATACAGTGGAAACTTCCTTTCAGAAATGAAGAACTAGGGTTGTGGTAGAGACTTTCTACTACATTAAGTGAATCAATGTAAAAGCGCTGCTTTTTTGCATCAGCCTGCACTCTTTTTGGCTATAGAAAACAGCCTTGTATTCTGTGGCTGAAGTATCTAAATTGCAATTCTCTATGCTTTTGGATGTCTGCTCTGCCTATCGCCACTGTACAGGAAGTCCTAGGCTTGATGAAACACCCCACTTTTGGCCTTTACTGAATCCAAGTAAGGTGAATCTAATTACAAAAGGGTTTTTTCTTTTTCAGGTGTTTTCTATTTGCAAGATCATGCTTGATTGAAATATAATTCTTGTTTAGGGCTTAAATATTAAAATAGACTGTGTATTCTTTTGCATAGGTATTACTATCTCATCTACAACTTTTTGTACAGTTTTTATTTTCTGTTTCCACAGGAGTGATAAGCATTTTCAGTAACATTGTTGTGTTAGGCATCTTTGTGAAGTATAAAGAGCTTCGGACAGCAACCAATGCAATTATTATCAACCTGGCTTTCACTGACATTGGTGTTAGTGGCATTGGCTACCCCATGTCTGCTGCTTCAGACCTGCACGGAAGCTGGAAGTTTGGATATACTGGTTGCCAGGTATTGCAATTTAGACAGGGAAAAAATTTTGAGCACCTAAATGCAAGATAAGCAGTAAGTAGTAGCTCTAATTGATATTGGCTCAAGGCCTCAATTTCTGCACATAGATTCTGTTTTGAATCCTTTTCCAAACTTTAAATCGTAAGTTAGAATTCATTCAAATGTGACCTTATGTTTATCAACTGCATCATGTGTAGAAGTACTATCACCATGCCTTGTCAGACCCAAGACCAAGTAAAAATGGGGACCAATGGAGAAAATCGGTGTACCATATCAGTGAAAAAATACATAGCAGAGGGAAGAGTGATGATTCAGAACCTCAGATTTGCTAAAGCCTTACATGGTTCTAATCTTTTAATGATGAATCAAATGTTCTTTGGGACTCTTTAATGTATTTTAAAAGTATGACTTGAAAACCTCCTCCCAGTCTTTGCCTCGGAATCTTAATTTTACTTATTGGCATATGTAGTGTTAGACTGTCTTCCTTAGGGATTCTGGTGTACAAATTGGCAGATTGCTTTTGAAATGTTTATTTTAAATGAACCATTGACAAATTGCCTGCACTGAATCAGTTCATGCAGCACCTTGCTTACACAAGAAAACACTGATTAGAAGGTACCATACTGCCTTAGATTAATAATGCACATTTTTCCTCATGCGTTTGAAAGATTTCTCAGAAAGGCCACATTATCTGTTTTTTATAATTTCAGATCTATGCTGCCTTAAATATATTTTTTGGGATGGCGAGTATTGGTTTGCTCACTGTTGTTGCAGTTGACCGTTACCTGACGATCTGCAGGCCTGATATAGGTACTGTCTGTTTTGTCAAACATCCTTCACTGTTAGGCTTTTATGAACTAAGTGTCCAATTGTATTGTTTTCTTGTGAATGACCCCTTAATTAAAGAGCTAGGTGTAATTAAAGCATAGAATGTGGTACTGCAGTACATGATGAGCAATACAGTTTGCGTGGATGGTACTGCTTGTGAACATGAGAATTTTAGAGGTAAGCTGCTACTTGCTTTGTAAGTTGTATTTTCCTGGCAGTTTCCAGTCGTTAGAAGGTCACATCCATATATTGAAGTGTACAGAATGCCTCAGCTGTGAGAGGTTTTGACCTCTGTCAAGTCTGCATTTGCTTCCAGCATTGAGTCAGCACTGTATTGAATATTTTTCACTCTTCTTTATTACAGCTGTACTGGAACAGTCAATTCCTCTTTGTTCTTTCTTTCTTTCTATGTGCATAGTAGGCCTTTTGGCATTGCATCAGGCTCAGATCTTGTCTGTATGCTGTGAGTTGAAGTGGATGATGGAATTAATTTAAGTCTGGAAAGCTTAGATGTATTTCAGTGATAAGAAGCATGTATGCTGCAGTGTTTGGGAGTGTAGTTCTCTGAGAGGATCGTTATTAATGCCACGTAGGTTTGCTCTCACCTACTTGTGATTAAAATTCAATACTGGAAACAAGAAAAAAGGCAACAATTTGTGAATATACGTGTTTTGTCACAGGAAGAAGAATGACTACACGTAACTATGCTGCTCTAATCCTGGCTGCATGGATCAATGCAGTCTTTTGGGCGTCCATGCCTACCGTAGGCTGGGCTGGCTATGCTCCAGATCCAACTGGAGCAACTTGCACAGTCAATTGGAGGAAAAATGATATGTAAGACTTCACCTCACCTTTTCTTTTAATTTGTTCTCTTATTGAAGGTTTAGATTATTTAATTTACCACAGAATGACAATAAATTCTTGAAGTATGAAGCCTAACATACAAAGATAGTTTATTTAAATATATATATATATATATATATATTTTCTAGGGCAAGTCTAGATAAAATGTAGAAAATGTGCAATGCTTGAAAACTGTTCATTTAAAAAAAAAAAAAAAACAACCCTGCACATGTTAATAAAAACTAAAGACTGAAGATTTTTTTTCTAATTCTCTAGAATTTTATTTCAAATTTCACAGTCAAATTCTTCAGTAACTCTTCATGGATGGATATTTGTAAGTTACTGTGTTTTGTTTTCTGTCTTATCAGGTCCTTTGTTTCCTACACAATGAGTGTAATTGCTGTTAATTTTGTTGTACCCTTAACAGTCATGTTTTACTGTTATTACAATGTTTCCCGGACAATGAAACAATACACCAGCAGTAACTGCCTGGAGAGCATCAGCATGGATTGGTCTGACCAAGTAGATGTAACAAAGGTATGGTAAATGAGGGTATGTTTCATTTTAAGCATGTTCTTTTGAATTAGTTTTGAGAATGGAGGAACAATACAGCCACTTAAGCTTGTCTATTTCCTGCATTGCCTTTTTCCTTCTTTCTTACTAAATATTAACTGAAATTTAGCCTTAGTGAAATCTCTAGACTTGACTAGCATCACTAGATTCATTATTCTTTCCAGACGAACAGCTGTTTTGAAGCCTGGGAACTATGTTCTTGTTTCTGCCCTCTGTCATTGTATAGAAACATACCACATCAGTGGCCTAGGAGCATTGTCTAAGACACTTTTTGTGTCCGCAGAGTCTTTAGGTGCTCTGCCAGGTTCACTAGTGCAACTGGTCAGAAATGGATTAGTCATTAGCTCTGTTTTGCTCACATGGACTGTAAATGAAAGTGCATTTTCAAGCTCCCAAACTGTTTGCTTCTTCTGATCCCTTGTATTTTTTTTTCCTTTTTTCTTTAGTCTATTGAGCTTATCTCTTTCTTAGGTAAACAATAGGAAATGTGAATTATGGCATAGAATGATGCATCCTGCTTGAAAAGTTCACATTCTTTTAACACACAAAAGTCCTTGAGAAAGCTTTAAGTGCACTGGCTCCTTTGATTTTGGATGAAGATATGGTTTATGGTTGGGCACAAGAAGAAAACATACAGAAATTAGGAGTAGACTGAAAATAATGCATATTTGAATTAGTTATCAACGCAAGCTTAACATTCCTTGGAGAATGTTCTCATTGCTGAAAACTCCAACCCTTAATTATGAACATTTTATGTTTCTGAATAATTCAGAATGCTTTAAACTGAAGATTCAGTTATAGATTTAGACTCAGGTTTGTATGTTTTTCATATTTCACAGTTGACTGTGAGTTGTATTTAAAAAATAAAAATAAAAAATGAAGCCTTGTGGTTAAGCATAATCCTTTAAAATGGGTTACTTGATTTTTTTTTTTTTTTTTTTAATTTTTCCACAGTTTGGCATCTTTTAAGCTTTCTGTGCATTGACAACTTCTAAACAGAAGTATTCTGTTAATGTAAGAATCACTGTTATGAAATTATTCTCTTACAGACATCGTGTTAGTATTGAATAGAAACCTTCTGTGGACAGGGTGCAGCTTGCTTGGTTGTGCTCTGAAACAGCCCTCACAGATTTGTTGATAATTTCCAGTGAGAGCCAAAATGAGAAACAGAAGGACAGGATATGGGCATAGGTGAACAACACTAGAGAACCTTACACTACAGAAAGAGCATTCAAAGAGCCCAGCAGTTTCATTCAGTTTTGGGGTGATTTGTTTTGCTTTTCCTGATTAATTTGAAGCTTCCATTCTGATTTCTATTACTGATTCGCATCCCAGACAAAAGCCAGAAAAGTCAGTCCTAGTTGATTCTGCTCCTGCCCTCCCACTACTCTCAAGTTGTTGCTGTTTGGTGGCTTAATGTTTTCTCCTGGGTGTAAATGAGAAATATCAATTTCTGGAAGAATTTAATCTGCAAGATGCTGAATTTCCTTGTTCTTTCTGTTCATGTTTATTGTCTGTAATAGCATCCCAAGGTGACCTGTTTTCACTGGATTCCTTCCACTCTCTTCAGAATAACAAAAAAAAAAAAAAAAAAAAAAAAAAAAAAAAAAAAATTCTGAACTCTCTCTTGATGTGTATCTCAAGATTCTTTTGAAAGGAAGCCTGTTGTTCTCACAGAGCATTTTACCCAGTTTATCAGTTTATAATATTTTGTCTAGCAGGGCTAGAAAGTAGATTCCAAGTTGTTTACACATGGACATAGAATGGAAGTAGCTAGGAAATGCTTAAAATAATGTGATTTATACAAAAGCTGGTAACTTTCTACGATATAAAATGATATTGAGTACCTGATCATTTTTAAATATTGCATTTTATTTTCCTATAGCTATGTTTGGTGGATGTTGGAGATATGTGTGGTAATAAAGACAGTAATACAGATACTCTAATGCGCGTTTTGGAGAAGACTTGCTGATATGCAGTGCATTTTTTTTTTTTAAGAGTTGAGGTAGTGGCCATAATTCATTTGTGAAATCTTCTATGGCCATTTAAATTTTTGATGATTGAATTTAAAATAAGGCTTAGTGCTAATCATAAAGGAAAATGGTAACAAAATAACAGTATGGTGCATTATTAAATCCTGAAAATGAGATTTTGCTGTAAGTTATCGAGAATGATCAGATGTTTTCATTTACATGTCATTATTTAGTTCTGGATATCTCTTATTATCACACAGATGTATGTACTTTGAGTTAGGTTAATCTTCAGGTTATGTTTGTGTTGCCCTTGTTTTACAGATGTCTGTTGTGATGATTGTAATGTTTCTGGTGGCATGGTCTCCTTATTCCATTGTGTGTTTATGGTCTTCCTTTGGAGATCCGAAGAAAATTTCTCCTGCAATGGCCATCATAGCTCCTTTATTTGCAAAATCCTCCACATTCTATAATCCCTGCATTTATGTAATTGCAAACAAAAAGTAAGTGTTCTTCGATACTGTCTACATAATGATCATCTGTAGATTAGGAGAAACTGAATTGTGAGGAGACTGGAGGGTAAACTGTTCTGGGTTTACCAAAGATAACGTTTTGGGCAGCAAAATCTAAATGAAATTGCTCTGATCAACATCAGAATGTGTTAAATTGATACAGATTTTTGAAAGCAAATTAGTGAAGATTGTGTAAGTTCATTTTGAGAAGTCTTTTGTCACTTCTCAGAGGGACTTATTGTGGAATTTAAGTTCATCAGCAGCAGACTAGTTTTGGCGACTGTGGCCAAGATGTCTTACATATCGTGTTAGTGAAGTGTAACTTTAGAATTCCTTGCTTAGTTGAGATGTTCTATATTGTGATTGATTAGGAGGGAGTTACACTTTCCACTAAGGTAAGTTAGTTAAGCCTATTCTTCTATATTGAGGAAGCATATAAAATGCTCTAGCCAACCCATTGCCTCTGAATGGGAATTGGATTTTGCAAACAGGAATCCTTCCTTGCTTTACTACCAAGCTACAAAGAGGCTGTGATCTCTGTCTGGCTTGTCTGCCCTGATCCTGCTGAGTCCGTGAAAGTCCATCACTTTTTCACCCCGTTCTCCAAACTTTGCTTTTGTCGTAGCTACACATCCAGTCTTCAATTACCAAATGCTGCTGAGACTCTTGTTGTGGGAGAAACACTTGATTGAGTTATTCCTGTACATGGAAATGTAAGAGATTCAGGTCCTTTTGAATTCCAGACATGCAATTTTTTTACTAAGCAACTTTTACTAAAGTTGAAAGCAGTTGTAATAATTAAAAGAGCTTACCCAGTTTGTGTTTGTATGTGGTTCTCCAGCTAGTGATATTTCTGCTTCCACTTTCTTGTCCTTTGCAGGTTTCGGAGAGCAATCCTGGCAATGGTGCGATGTCAGACGAGACAAGAAATAACTATAAACATTGCCTTGCCCATGAGTGTTTCTCAAAGTGCACTGACATCCTAGAACTGGTTTACTTTTCTGCTTAGATTTTGTGGAAACAAATTAAATCTGGTTACAGTTAGTTTATTTTTTGGAATAACAACCTGCCTCTTCCAGTCAATTGTTTCCTGTTAATTGCTGAAGTATTTTTTAGGTTAAAGAGAAAAAGAAATAACAAAAACAAGCACTGCAACTTCAGTTTTCAAGAATGAGGCCTATTGGATTGATATTTCTGGCACAAGCAAAAAAGGCCATTGAAGTGTTCCATGTGACTTGTGGGGTTGGACAAGGTGACATCAGGGCAGGAAGAGACTGAAGTAGGAAGTGCTTAGGTTCAGTAACAGATATAGCACCTTTAATTCCTCTTGCAAATGACTTTCTCTCAATTTCAATTAAAAGTTGAAAAGTGGATTTTCCCTGTATGTGTGTATTCAATATCATGTGTCTGTACTGACGTTTGTTTTGCTTCCATGAATATGGTAAGGTTATCAGAATATCTAGCTAAACCCCATATAGTTTATTATCAGCTTTTAGGATTTTGAAAGACTTTCATGATATTTCATGTATTTTTGAAGTTTTGGCTCACAGAATCAAATCAGTCTGTGGGATGGACAGCTTTTGTTTTAGTAATGGCACATTTCTAGCGCTTGCCCCTGCACAGCAAATCCTGATGGTGGGACAAAATGCTCCCTGAAGGTTGACTCTCAGGTGGCTCATAAAGCAGTAAAGATGATTTCTCATTATTTCTAAGTCAATCTCATGGACATCCATTGTGTAATTTTTGAAGAAGAATTTTGACAGTGTCAGCAATGGATTTATTTGTGTTGGAGGGGGTGGCTGCAGATAGAGCTATTGATGGATGGTAGTACACGTTCTTGATGATTCTCAGATTTTGAAAATAAATATCTTTTTTTTGATTTCCAATCCGAAGTCTTAGTGATCCTTCAGACATGTCTCAGCCACTGTGACTGTTTAGCTACAGTTACTCTGTTGCTTGGGCTCTTTTTTCTCCTATGATCTCTAGTGTTGGTCTGACAGAGTACCGCTTTAAGTGATGCAGTCATCTGGGAAAGCTAAATGTTAATTTTATTAATTTGTGTGGAATGTGTGATGTAATTTTTTTAAGTTCCCCCAGAATTGTGGGAAAGAAACACTTTAGAAAGTATATTTTAAGTCTGACCACGTGAAATTTAATTAAACAGTATTTTGAGTACAATTTGCACCAACAGTTGGTTTATTTCTTCCATTTTATTTTGATTTTATTGTACATGCGTTCATCCAAAGCATGGCTTTGCAGTGTGGAGCTGTTGTTTAAAATTTGTGTGTTATTGGTAAAAACCTGTCTTTACAGGTTTTTTTTAAAGTTCTGGAGTCTATGCTTCCTGTTAATTTGTACTTTTCAGTAATAAAGTAAATGCCATACAATGTCTTCTTGCTGTACTTGCTTTCTTCACAGAATCTTGGAACGCTGCATGGACAGTAAATCATGCACTGCCCCTCAAAAGAAGCAAATACATGTTTTACTACATACTAACCATACAGAAAGTGCGTATTAAAATAGCCTGGAAGCACGTTGTGTAGAACTTGACACAGTGTGGTGTTGTGACATGATGAAGAATGAGCTGGTTTAACAGATCCCTTTCAGGATACATTTGAAGGTTAAGCAACTCAAGATCTCAGCTAATCTGAGGTAATCTGCTGCTACTAAATGGATGTCTGCATTCGCATTTGTAGCATGCTGCACACGCATGTGTATGAATAAAGTCTTCAGTTTTTTTGGTGTCAGTTGTGCTGGGAGGAAGCCATGCCTCTGCTTTTTTACATGTACCTCATAATGAGCGTTTCTGCAGAAGCGCAGGGTTTTTGTCCTTCGCAATGCACTTGTGTTTACCATGGCAGAAGTGATGGCACTGGAACAAGGTATGTGTTTCGTTAATTCTTATACTACTTGGTTTAGAGAGAAAAAAGGAGTGAGGAAACTGGAAATAACATCCTCACATACGCTGCAAATTACAGTTTATCATGGTTACTTTGAAATAATGGCACAATTTATGTTAGTATTACGTAGCTAGCAGTGTTCCTGAATCACACCAGATGGTCTTTGTTTTATTTTAATGGCTTTGTGCTTAACAGTAGCTACTTTAAATCTTCAGCCTCACTGTAGAAGGCAATTTCTGACTCTTGCTTTTCCTACTACTGTAATGATCTTTCTATTTCCTCAAACTATTTATCTACTGTAAAATGATTCTGATTTAAATAAATACAGTAGTATCTTCTTTCCTGTATTCACAAGGAAATCATACTTTTTGGTAATAAAAATTAGGTTAATTGGATGTTATTGTGTCAATTTTGAGAGATACTGTTTCAGTTACTTGTCACAGCATATCTAGTATAAAATGACAGGAGGAGAAAACAAAACTGAAGAATTTAGAGGAAAAAATGGAGTAAATTAAAGCTAAGTTTCTAGATAGGAGGGGACTATTTAAACTAATGCATGCAAACTGTCTATCCAAAGGGAAGGGAAACTTCCTGATTCCTGAGAATGCAGAGGAATCTCATTTCACTGAAATCAATGGGAACAGGAAGTTACATAGAATCTCTACAAGGCAGATTGTTCCTGCTTAGACACCAGAAATAGCGGTAGCAATCTTTTCTTTTGAGAAACATGCTGGTGTTTTCAATTTTCAGTCTGTTCTGAGAAGTAAATAAAGATATATAAATGCTTTGAATCTTCATCATGACAGAAAACTAGAGATTAGTATTCAACATTCTTCATTATAATAGAATGTCACACAGTTCCCGTTTGAGAACATAAATGTGTGATTCCCTATACAGTGACTTTTCTTTTTCGGTTGACTATATAATATTAGATGGAAGGTGGTGCTTGTGTGCTTTGGAATAAAGCAAATCTAAATTTCTCATAGAAATATTGCTATTTATATTCACTTTTTCTTTAGAGAATTCACATTCTTTTTAAATTCTGTTTTTTATTTAATTTTTTTTTATTCTGATGTTAATTTTGTAGAAGTTAATGGCACTTAAATCTGAAAGACAACTTTCTGATAAAGAAATGCAGATCTCTCTCTTTCTTTTTGGTGCTAGGTCTGTGCTCTGTAATGATCCTGACATGTTTGAGATCCCTGTTAACGTTCCTGTGGATACTGTGAAACTTCGTATAGAAAAAACTGTCATACGAAGGATTCCCACTGAAGCCTTTTACTATCTAGTAGACCTCAGATATCTGTGGGTAACTTACAACTGTGTAGCCAATATTGATATCAGCAGCTTCTACAACCTGAAACAACTGCATGAGCTCCGGCTGGATGGTAATCTGATTTCGACTTTCCCTTGGGAGTCTCTGACAGAGATGCCCAATTTGAGGACTCTCGATTTGCATAACAATAAGATGACCAGCATTCCAGCCGAGGCTGGCAGGTACTTGAGGAACCTCACCTACCTGGACATCTCCAGCAATAAGCTCACCACCTTGCCCTCCGACCTGATGGACATTTGGCCGCCCTTCTCAGAAGTTGTCCCTCCCAAGAGCACAGACATTCTGGTGACTCAGAGAGTCATTTTGGGTATGTTAATGTTCTATCATACCTTGTTAAAATGTGCCTATATGGTCAGTTGGAAGTTAGAGCAGGGTGAGATGGGCCTTGGGTTCAGGAGGGTGCTAGTACAAGCCATTCTTCTGGCTTGCTCTGCAATCTATCTGTCATCTATCTGTCCATCTATTTTCTGCTGTTGATAGAAAAATATATAGGAAAGATAGTGACCTTCATGTATATAGTTATCTCAGCATTACAAAAGTGTGTGAAACGTACTGGATTCCTGTTTCCTAATGAAATATTCAATATCCAGATAAATAAATGCAGGACTTCCAAAAACTGTGCTTCTGAGGACACTTCTGTTGTCACTGAATGTGGCTGCAAACACAAGTGTGTCCACTTGCAGCTGTTTTTAGCAGTGACTCACAAACCAGATGAGGAGTTAGAGTAGATGCTTTATAAAAAAGCCAGTTCTGAAATACAGTATCCTCCCCATGACTCATGTTGACCTTGCATTGTTCTAATGCTGACATTTCTGCCAATTCACATTGTGAATACAAGAGGAAGAATAAGGATCCCTGATACACACAGTGTCGCAGTGCTTTTTATAGTATTTAAAGTGAGCATTTAAGAATAGCTTGTCTGGACTCTCATTGTTCATAGTTTTATTCTCTCCAATTTCTTTTAGATCATGATGATGTTAGTTCTTTTTGTGATCTTGCGCTCTATCAAGTTTTTGTTCACTTTGTAGCCTTGCAGGTAACCATTTACCATTTGCAGTTTCAGAATACACTTGGATCAAGACAGCTTTCTTGTCTGTCATTGTATATGTGCATGTTCTGTAACACAGTAACACAGTGCAGCAGTGAAAGGGAGGAAAGCTAGCACCAGACAAATAGCTGGCTTCCTGTAATCTAGCTGCAGGGGTGGCTTGGTATCCACTGGTAAAGATCCTCCATGCACTGTGCTGCCCAATAATTCCATCTTCTTGATCTAAAACTATTATTAAGCATTCGTTTGTTCAGCTGCTTTCTTTTATGACAAAAAGCTTGATCTGAAGTTCTCATTCAGATGAGATTGTAAATAACTTCATAGATGAAAGTGGGCTGAGTGATTACATGCATGGTAACTGTAAGTTTGCAGCTTTAAAAGGATGTTGGTTAATTTGGGATCTAAACAAACAAAAACCCACAAAAAAACCTGTAAAATTAAGTCAGCTCACTACCCCATACTGAAGGCAATAACACAGGAGCTGACTGGGCTAGGTCTAATCCTCCTTATGATGTCCTCATGTGGGAATCCCTGAGATTATTCAGTTGCCTTTGCTTACATAGCCCTCATTACTACAACTTAATAAATAATAATTACGAAACAAACCCATGCACTCTCCTCCCCTTTCTCCCTTTCCCGCCAGCTGCATTGGTACATACTCTTTGCCTGCTCCCTTCAGTCCTGGTAAACTCTCTGAGACCAACAGTGACTTTTCTAGCAATATAGGATGTGACCTTTGGATTATGTTCATTATTGTTTATGAACTACAAGTGGGCACAGATCTGCAGAGAGGGATGTGCACTGGGTATAGAGCCTTACTTTTCCTTTTTTAACATTATGCTCTGAGGGAGGCTCTGTGTGGTCACTGTAGATTTCAATGGGAGAACATAAATCTGTGGGTAGTGCTGAATAAAGTTACCTTAGGTAAGCTGTGGGTAATGTACTGAATTTTCATTTGTTGACAACGTAACCTTATGACTGTCCCATTGCATGCAAACAATGCTTGCTGTATAGGAAACTCTATAGTGAATCAGAAAATGCTCTTTTTCTTTGGGGATTAGAAATTGGGGTGCTTTTTGTGCAACAAAACTTTTTCACAAGCTTTGTTTCCACTTAGCGGTGGCTTT